TCCTGTTAAAAGGGAGTTTTTCCTTCCCACTGTCACCAAAGTGCTTGCTCATAGGGGGTCATATGATTGTTGGGTTTTCTCTGTATCTATTATTGTAGGGTCTACCTTACAATATAAAGCACCTTGAGGCGACTGTTGTTGCGATTCTGTGCTATATAAATAAAATATAATTGAAATGAAAACTTCAGTTACACTGAAGGATCAGATATTAAGTTATGACTGGACAAGATTAGTAACAAATTTAAATGCTAAATTTAAAAGCATTTACCTTCCCTTTTCACAAGTCTCTTTTATGTGACCTGCTTCAAACAACAAGAATGCACGGGGCAACATATCCAATGTTTTTTTGCATTCTGATGTCCACGTCCAAAACACAGTTTCAGAAGAGCAGATCCATGTTAAAAATCTCAACATCACATGTGACCTGTGTAGTAAGTTTAACTGGATTCTCTAAGCACTGCAATTGTCTTTTGCTTTATCAGTTCTCCATCGTGTCTTTCCGTGATAATTTACCAGGAGCTTGAGGACAAAAGATCAGGAAAGTGTTAAATCTTCAAACTGATTTATGGCTGTCTGTGCATCAAAGATCTTTGCACCCAGCTAAAGTGAGAAACCATTAAATTAAATACTACATTGTGAAAGATTCATGGACATTCTGTACAAAGCTTTTTGATTTCACTTCTCAGAGATGTTACCTTTTTAGCGATGCAGAGTGTGCGGAGGCCTTCTCTGGCATAAGCATCCAAATGTTTTTGGGTTTTTTCTTTGATGTGACTGTATACCTCCGTCTGATCTGCACCGGAGAACAACAAACACACATATAAAACACAAAGGAACACTGATGAAAGACATTGCTCTTATTATAAATTTCATTTGTTCTAAAATCATCAATCAGTAGGAAATCAATCTTAAATATTCCTTTTAATTACCTGTGGGGCTTTCAGCCAGGTCCATGATGACTGAGTCCGCACCCTTGGTGAAAACCACCACCTGTCCCGTCAGAGGGTGGCGAACCACTACGGACATCCTTTTCCTGTTGGAGTCAAAGGGCAGGATGTGGAGCAGCTGGATAGCCAGGGAGCCGATTCCTGGCAGATCCACGAGCAGGCTCTCTGCAGAGCGACCCCTCAGGGTACAGCGGTATGCTCGTGCTGCATGGACCAAAGCTGCCTCATCTGGACTCTCTGCCTCATACACCAGTTCATCGGTTATCTCTTCCACTTGTTTGGTCAGGTCTTGCATGCTCTGTCTTGCCTCATCAGGGTTTGTCTGTGTATCCTTTAAGTCATCCTCTGTCTCTTGGTCCTCCACATCTTGTTCTTCCTCCTCTCTGGCAGATAAGTCTGGTTTAGAGTCATTTTCCTGGCTTGAGCCTGACACGTCTGTGGTGTTGCTCACGGGAGTGGAGAGAGTGAGAGAGCCTCTCTTCCCCCTAATAAATAGCCTGCTTTTTAAGCTGTGAGGGCTGCCTTTGATTTGGGAAGGGGAGAGAGCGGAGAAGGGAGAGAAACTGAAACGCTGAAACATCAACTTAACTTCTTCCAGAGACTTTAGAGGTGTCCGTTCTTCAGGTATCTGTAGGAACAAGAAAACATAGAGTCAGTTTCTGGAACTCGTGCTAAAAAAGTTTCCCCTGAAATTATTCTTTGAATTTTTACACTACTGAACACTTTACTGTATTTTTAATTAAATGTAAATGAATCAAGCCAGAATCTTTCCCATTAGTCGAATCTCTGCACAAAGTGAAAACCAGCTACAGCTTTGTTACTGTGGAGTATTTTGTGTCAACGGACGAGGAATAAATATCCATCAGACTCAATAATAGATATTGTGGTGATGTAAAGTGGAAAATCATGTCTCGTGATTTTCATGTTCAAAATCATGTTCAACCTTTACATTTTTAGGCATTTAGGCTCTTTAAGTTATTTATATGATGATTAAGAGAGAGTAAGGACTATTTTAATATGCAAACATATTTCAGCGTGCCGTATTGTCAGAACACGTCCGATCGTCTGGAGTCAAAAAAATCATGTTGAACTACTTTGAGTCTGGACTCTGAAGTCATGTCCACACTCGTCTTCAGTCAAATCAACACATTACTCAGAGTTATCATTCCATTATTGATGTAACTTATATATTTGATTCCTTATCAGTTCTCGCTGTCTCTGTTTGAGGGTCACCATCATCTGTAAGCAGCGTATCAAAGACTTTACATCCGTGAATATTAACTGCATGTAGTATCGTCAAATGCTTGTTATGGTCAGTGTTTGGTGTCATTACTCAAAAAACATAACGTATTACGCAGAACACCTTTCTTAAAAGGGATGTAAGTAATCTGTTACACTACTTGTAACATTATTTTTGCATTTTTCCATAAAATGGTGAAACGCATTGTCTCATATATACATGCAGGACACACATAATCTTTCTCTTAGCAGTGGCATGCAGTGACTTTTACAGAACAAAGATGAAAACAGATAAAAGTGCTGCTGACCCTGCACCTGCTCAACTTCCCTGTTTTATTATAGACCAGACACGGTCAGAGCCACAGCCTTCAGCTTCTTCCTGTTAAAATGGAGTTTTTCCTCCCCACAGTCGCCAAAGTGCTTGCTCATAGGGGTCGTCTGATTGTTGGGCTTTCTCTGGATTATTGGTCTTTATGTTACAATATTAAGCCCCTTGAGGCGACTGCTGTTGCGATTTGGCGCTGTATAAGTAACTGCAGCCACAAGATGACAGTAATGTTAATGATGGATACACATTCTAATCGACAGGCGAGGAGCTTTATGGCAGCGCTGTTTGTCATCAAAGAGAGAAATCACTTTACTTTGGTCCTGATGGAAAGCCACTGGTATTTAGATATGAACACAACGCCGGCAGCACAAAGCAAAGATGAAAACAGGACAAAGAGCCTTTAACTGCCACAGTGATTCTACTGTAGAAACATGTTGGAAACCGAGGCTGCAGCCTGACTGCTCATCCATTTATTACCTTTATTACCTGTTTAACACCAGGGTCTGGCAGCTTGACTGTTGGTGTTTGTTCAGCTTTAACATAAATCTGGGTTCTTGGCTAGCTTAGGTTTAGTCTGTGCTGTCTGTGCAGGGACTTGTAAAGAGCTGAAGTTGTGTTAGCAGCGTAATGCAGTTGTTTCTGTCGTGGATGCAGTTTCCACTTTATTATCATGTCTATATCTACACTGTAGACCGTGCCACTGTTTTCCTCCTCTAGCATACAATCTGAAATCAGCTGATTGTAGCACAAGTGCAAGTGGAATGGATAAACGGATTCAATAGGCAGGCAGACAACAATGTCAAGGAACTGAACTACTGGGAATCAGTTCTTTTATCATCACAGTCCTGACACACATTTGTTTTTCTATCCAAAATGTCTGAACAACATTTTAATCCAAGTCAGGAAATATCAAGTCTTTTCACACTGATATTCTAAAGATTACGAGGACCTCTAAACATCACACTGAATGACATCACTCTACAGACTAAACTAAGCAAAATGTTTAAATAGGCTCGTCAGTACAGACAAAAGAGCAAATTGTTCCAACAACACCATGTAAGTCATTTCATTGTAAATCAAAACAAATGTTGGAAACATCTTTTATGTGTTATTTACTCACCACATGTCGAGGCTGGTTGGGCGAAGAAACCACCACACTGTTACAGATGGCCAGAGCCAGGAAGAAGTCAGTTATGTAGGTGAGTTCCATGCTGGATGGAGTCTCGGATGAGGAGTGGTTTGTCAGCCAGTTCAGCTTCCTGCCAAGTGCGGGGTCTGGTACCACCTCCTTTGCCTGAACACAGGAGCAGCAGGTGCTTACCCAACATGCCAACAATAGGAATAATATGTCAAAGCAGTGGAGTTCACTATATGCAAAATGTAGTGTGAGAAATATGCAAAAAACTAAGAATTCAAAAAGGGGGCAAAAACAGCACTATATTTACCAGTAATTAATAAAACCAACTTTTTATAAGGTCTCCAAGCCGAGTTTTTGATGTGCATTCCATAAATGTTGAACTGTCTGCTTTTGAAACCGTAACTATGAAGTGAAGTCAGCATACCGAGGGAATCTTCTGATTATCAGGATTCACTTACAGTAATATTTGCAGTCAGGAGAAATGATCACACAGAGCTGATTATTACATATTTACTCAGGGATTCTCCCACATTCAAATTAAAGAACTGCCACTTCCAACATCTGACCAATCACAAGACATGGACGGATGTCCTGACAGCAGAGCAACTGAATTTACAAATGAAGAGAAACTGTTCAATCGGCAAAAAGCAGTTAAACACTCTGCGCTGTTTTAACTGCAGCAGCATAACAGCTACAGATGGTGTCGATTAAAGTCTATCTGAAGACAGGAAGGAAAGCTGGCAAAGGTGCTGACTGTGTAACAGACTTATCAAAATGTAATATTTGTCTTTCACAAACAGGATGTGATGCGATCAGTATTTCATTAAAAGAATGTTTAAAGGACAGGCTTGTGGTGTTTTTTAAGAGTTTGAAAGTAAAGAAGTAATATAAGCACAAAGATAGGACTAGACTATGTTTTATTGTATTTTAGGTCAACAAGTACAAATAGGTGTCCAATCCTAGAATTGTATATTAATACCGACAGAAGAATAAAACTGCAGCCAGTAGGAAAAAATAATTTAAGGAATAAAGCTAAGGATCCCGATTTTATAGATTATATAACACAAAGACATTAGATTTAGACATTTTCTGGTAAGTGATTAGTCAGACGGTGATGATGTCATACCTGCTAATCTCTAATCTGGACCATGACCATGAGGCTTGCAGCATAAGGAGATGGTCTCATATACATTGACCAGTTTGACTTGTGATGAGGCTCATCTTTTAATTAGAAGTCATTTCAGGTAACAACACTGTTTGACCACATGCACTACTGTCACCACATTTGTAAGGTGTTTGTCTTCTCTGTGATAGCAGAGAATGTTGGTGTCGTTGGGTAGTGAACCAACACTTGCCCAAAATCGCCGGCCTAGGGGATCCTCACGCACCTGGTTAAGCAGTGTGCCAGTGTGTGTTGTTATAGTAAATAGTGACTACTTTGTATTACTGTAACACAAGTCTCAACATGTGCCATTTCAAAGTTTTGATAACGTCACAGTTAAAAAAGGACTGACTAGATTTGTTCAGACTTTTAGCTGGCATTGTGTTTGGAGTAGACATGGTCTCTGATTATATACCCCAGGGTCCATAAATTATAAAATTACAAAATGTTTGTTTTATAAAAACATCTTTTAACATGAGTATTATTTTAACAATACAAAGAATGCAAACATGATGTCTGATGTGTGTGAGAGAATCTGACCATGCGGCTGCAGAAGGCGCCGGTCCTGGGCTGGACGTGACCCGACAGTTGATCCTCCTCCATTGGCTCAGCAGTAAGCGTGTGAAGAGACACAGAGCTGCGGTTGCAGCTGAGAGAGCGACAGCTCAGAGATTTCCCACTGTAGCCTGACTTCAGAGTCACAGAGCGAACAGCCGTCTCGGTGTTTTCTGATTCGTACACCTCAAGCCTTCGAGCTGACACACATAACAACACATCAGCAATGATACCATGCAGGCTGTCATTAGCATGCCTGTAGTTTAAGGATAATGTGTGCTGTATTGTCTAAAATCTAATAAATCTTTATACATTTATGATCAGATGTCAGAATGTTTTATTTACTGGATGTTATTCTCCTCCAGTTCAAGCATTTTGATGTTAATTTAATTAAGTTTGTTTTTTTTAGTTTAGTTTCATTATAGTGCCAAAAAACAACAACTGTCACATCAAAGTGCTTCAAATCTCTGCTGATACCATTTAGACCCTGTTTCTTTCATTGTATTAAACATTAATAGAGCACAGACCATGGAGCAACAGCAGCAGACTGAAACTTGACGTATGTCATTAAATTAGAAGAACAGCTCTATTTAATGCTTAACTGAAATCGCCAATAAATTATTAATGAATATCCATCCATCCATCCCGGCCACTAGGGGGAGTAGCTTATAAACCAACAACTCCTCCAGCTCCTCAGAATGTCGAGGCTTTTCCAGGTCGGCTGAGAGAGATAATCTCCAGTGTGTCTTGGGTCTACCTCCCCTCACTGATAAAAATGATCAACTCAATCAATGGTGAAGTCCAAAACCCACAACAAGTCAGAAATATTACCAGCAATGTAGGCCAAGTTCTCAGTGTGATTGTACGCATGTGGAAGGTGCATTAGGAGAGTGGGATTCCCCATATACCCACAGCACTTTCCACAGGACATGGTCATGTGCTTTCTCTAGGACCACAAAGTGTAACTCCTACTACATACCTTTGAGAGGATAAAGGTCTGGTCTAGTGTTCTACAAGCAGGACATAAACCGACTGTTGCCCTGAATCTGAAGTTAGAGTAATGGACAGCCTCTCTTCTCCAGTATCCTGGCATAGACCCCTAGTCCCCAAAGTCTGTTTCTTCTATAGAAGGTCGTCTGTGGGACGGAGGATATGTTCAAACTCGTCTTTCCACTGCCTGACTATATCCTCAGCTGAGGTTGGCAGGACCTTAACTGCATTATGCATGTTTGAGCAGAGCACTGCTTTCGCCTCCTTAGTCACCTCAAAGAATTGCTTTGAGGTGACCGGTAACTACTCCCACACCTGAGTTCAGCAATTTCAGCCATTGCCAAACCTGGCCTGCTTTTAATTGTTAGCTGCCTCCAGAGTCTCACAGGCTAACCAAGCTGAATAAAACTCCTTCAGCTTGACAGTCCGCTCCCATTCAACAACCCAAGGGTGCCGGAAAGCAACCCTCTTGTCCTCTGGGAAAACCAGGCAGCAGGCCGGGGGGATAGACAGACCCTTGTTGTTTCCTCAGGCTACACCTGACCGGGCCCCACAGGCTAAAGGCCGCCTACCAGGCACTCTCCCTGGGCCCCCAACCCAAACTTGGCCTCAGGGTGGGGGTGTGGCAACTGTATCCTGGCCAGCGTGAACTGATTGCTTGGTTTTCTTCATTTCACAGGAGTCAATGAATTGCTTTTCACCTGGTCTTCCCTCAGGACAACTTTGCCTAGTGAGACCTTACAGAAAACAAAGCCCCTGACAACACAGCTCCAAGACACACAGTCCTCTACGACAGTAAGGTGGTTTTCCCAGAGGGCTAATGATCAAAAACAAATACTCTACGGAGAAGCAAAAACATTCAGATGAAAATGTTTTTGTTTCATGCTGTTCTTTGTTTTACTCCTTTGTGTCTGTGGAATTCCATGAAGAAGTTTAGTTTGTGATATTGAGTGACAACGATATTCTAGACAATGACCTCAACTAAAGACAACATTGTACAAAAGTTTAAGGCACTAAAGACAAGGTGAACATCTTGTCTGTATAAATGCTGTTGTGTGAGCACTCATCGTCCTAGCTGCATTCCTACTGTAATTACAGAATTCCCTTCGATGCTGAAAATATGTTAACAACAGAAGTCAATGAAATTCAAAGCATTCTAGCAATAATAGCGGTTTCTACCATTTTCCTCATGAGGATATTCAACTCCAAAGATACTGCAGCGGCGAAACACCATCTTATTTTCTGTCAGCGTTCCTGTTTTATCAGAGAACAGGTACTGAATCTGACCGAGGTCCTCGGTAATGTTGAGAGCACGGCACTGGATCCTAGAGTCCAGCTGTTTGTTGTACAAGGATAGGTCGTTGTGGATGAAGTAGATCTGGCCTAGTTTCACAATCTCAATGGACACGTATAGAGAAATTGGGATCAGCACCTGTTGAACAAAAAGCATTAATCCTTCTAAAAAATTCAAGCACAGGTTCCTGTGATTTTACACCATCAAGTTTGTGTCATTTTAAAATTGTTTTGGTTATCCTAGAAAAGACCACACTAGCAGCAAATGAGAGGCCCAAGTCTGAAGTTAACATACCTGCAACACAATGACCATAGTCCAGAATATATAGAATCCAGCCAGGGCAGGAGGCGTCTCAGTATCGACCTGGAAGATGGATTCTTTAAAGCTGTTCATCCAGAGGCCGTGGCCTGAACACAAATGAAATCCTTACTGGCCATTCCTCGCTGCTCTTATCGGCAACATACATTGTGCACTATTACAAAGTTTCCATCAGAAGAATACTGTGACCAGTCAAAGCTGTTGTCAAGTGAGAGCTGTGATACAGCAGTGTCAGTACAGACCTATAGCAGCAGTCAGGCACATAACGAAGAGTAGGACCACACACCAAAGGATGTCTGTATTCAGGTGCTTCTCCAGCTTACTGCGCTTATACCTCGGCCCGCTGTTGTTCATCATGGCTTTAGTCTCATGACCTGAGTCCATAACAAGAGAAGAACACAGCCATCTATGAAGACTTTATCTGTTGAAACTACATAAGCAAGACGGGAACAGCACTCTTTATTCATACATGAGTCAACATGTTTTACAGCCTCTAAATCTTTTAACGCAGCTTCCTCAGTCGCTTTGGTCAAACTCTGCAAAGTAATAAGTGATAAGTATGTACAACTAATAACATTGTTTTTGCTGTAAATAGTTTTTAATATTGAGACATGGCAGCTTTTTATCAACTAAAATTCATGAAATTCTAAAGTGGGAAATCAGGTAATTTGTGTTTTTAAAAACCATTAATAAGGACGTTTTGAGGAGCTTTTGGTCTACTACACTTTGTCAGGCAGGTCCTATTTAAGCGATTTCTTGATTGAGAACGGGCATGGCTGTAATCAGGCCTTACAGTGATTACTGTAGGTTTTTACACAGGGCCATGTGGGTTTGGGTTTTTTCCCCTTAATAATAAACATTCAAGTGTAAAAAACATGTAAAAAAACAAAACAAAACAGGAACTCGGGCGAACATTTTTTCACACAACTGTAAATGTCTTCACTTCCTTTTACTCTACAAGACAGAGCAACTTCCAACAGTCAAAATTGAATCGAGTCATTACCAGTGGACATTTTCGCCAAATCTTTGGCAAAGATTTTCTGGTCTCTGGCTTTTCTTTGATCATGTGTGGCATCGAGAAGCCAAGATGAGACTTATTATGAACAGTGGCTATTTATAATTGTCTTTTCCTGGAACAGTTTAAGAATACAGATCAACAAATATATAAATAGGGTTGACCCTAACCCTATTTATATATTTATATTTCACAAAGTAATAAACAGTGATGATTCCTGGGCGTGCGGTTACCATGGACAATAAGTATGAAAAGACAGATGGAGGCACTGGTACGGTTCCCATATAAAGCCTCGAGCTGGACGCTTTCTCTGTCCCAGTCTTGGTGTTTTAAAGCTGAATGTGATGAGCCAGGGACGGATCTGATATCGAAACTGCAGTCTCATGGATAACAACTTGTAAGTGGGAAATTCTCCATTTAGAATGAGCATAACTTAATGTTCTGTTTAGTATGACTTCGAGCACATAAGGTTCAAGTAAAAGAGATAGCTAAACCGCTTTTACCACATAAAAACTTACTATAACTAAACATACAAGTTTTTCAAATAAAAAGAGTTTATGATATCTCGAAATCTGCTTGAGCCACACTTCTCCAGTTTTTCCATCGTCAGGACGTTAGCCCTGTTGTTCTCAACTACCTTTGGTGTTGACTCTCAGTGGGAAATTTAGTGCATACGAGGTGCAGATGTTCCTGTATACTCTTGCAGCCAGTTGGTTGTGTATTATTGGTCTCCTGTGGCTGAAAGTTCACACCAGGTAAAAGTGATGGAGGATTTAAAATTTGGAAAAATAAAGGCATTCAAAAAATGAAAGACCTATATGCAGACGGCATGCTGCTCACATTTGATCAGTTATGTATAAAATATTTAATAGCCCCAAAGAACCTTTTTAAATATTTACAATTGAAAAACTATTTGTCATCAAAACTGCAAAGGATTGCTGAACTTCCACCATTGACAAAAATAGAGGAGGTATGTGTTAAGAATACAAAAGGGAAAGGTTTTCTCTCTGTATATTATAATTTACTGATGCTTTCCTCCAAAGACTCAGCAGCAGATAAGCTGGATGCTTGGAGAAGCGAGACCTAAGAGGACATAGATGAAAACGACTGGAACCAGGCTTGCTTAAAAGCACAAAAACAAACACACGCTTTAAACTACTGCAATATAAATTTCTCATGAGAACCTATATAACACCTGTCAAGCTTCATCATATGTCCAATGATATTCCGGATCTGTACTAAATGTTTAGTTGAAAAAGGAACTCTTCTTCATTGTCTATGGGAGTGTCCTAAAAAGATGTTATCAAATATCTGTCCGAAGTGTTTAAGCTAAAAATCCCTTTAAAAGGAAAACTCTGTGTACTTGGAATATATCCAAGGGAATTTAAGCAATCGGGGAAAAAAACTAAATTACTGGACTATGGATTACTTCAAGCCACTGCGCTATGTTGGAAGAGTATGGATGCTCCCTCCATGGGACTCTGGAAGAAGGAAATTGCAATCTCTCTAGGCCTGGAAAGACTGACATATATTGGCAAAGGCAAACACTGGGACTTTGTGAATATGTGGAAGCCATATATGGATATTTTAGGGAGTGGAGGTGAAGGACATTTATGAAAAAGAAGGGATGGAAGGGAAAATGAAGCGCCTTGAGGCGACTTATGTTGTGATTTGGCGCTATATAAATAAAATTGAATTGAATTGAAGGGAAAATGTTGTCCATCCTAACCCGTTGTATTTTTGTATTACTGTGAGAACGATGCTCATTTCTACATTTAAATGTGATGTAGGCAGGTTTGATGTATGGATGGGTGTGTGAATGTGAGGGTGTTCAGCATTTGTTTGTATTGCACTATAAAAACTTTCAATAAAAATATATGGGGAAAAAAACCAAAAACAAAGTAAGAGGCCAATATGTGCAAATTAACGAGTAAAATGTTGTGTTGAAACAACATTTTCAGTTTTTCTTATGAAAAGAAATTCCATTTCTTTTATGGATGTAATTTGTTTTAAACTTTGGAAAAAAGCCAGTGTAACTGTTAATGTTCAGATGTGACAAAATAAAACTGCAAGCTTACCAGCATAGACTACGATGCCTACCACCGTTTCAGTGTTGCGTATGGTGCAGCTCCTGAGCAACAGGTTGCCACTATTGAGGCCTACACGAACCCCATTTGAGTGCTCCCTGTGAAACAAAATACACACACAAACTCATACAAAGACAAAAACAGTTGGCAATACAGTGAATACCAGCCTCTCTATGAGCAGTGCTCATTCTCACCACTTGAACTGGAAACTAAAAGGCGGTCTGAGGAAACCCTGACACATGGATATTGACTCCGGGAAAAGTAAAAAGGGCTGACATCAAATAATAAAAAAAGACACTCACTTGTCAAATTAAAATATTTGGCGTACAATGTGTTCCTAAATAATCCAGCCAGGCAGCTGACAAAAGTCTATTTTTGATCGTCACCGTGTTTCCACGACAAGGTGACATCAACTCCAAACAGACAAATAAACAAATGTGTTAAAACACTCGAATAAAAAGAGACTCACATGTAACCTCTAAACCTGCTGAGGTCATTGTTGGGGTTCTCACACTCAATACGACTGTGGAAACTCTCAGGAGTGAACTCTTCTCCCTGCAACACAGACACTTTCTATCAAACATGCAAATAAATACAAGTAGAAAGTCAAGTAAGCGAAGACACAAACACACAAAAGAAAAGACTAGCACACACTGTTGTGTAAGAGTCCCTCTTATTAGTGGCATTGCTGCAAAGCAACAGCTCCTTTGTGTGCTGCGAGCTTCTATTCAGACTGTTGAGATTTGATAGTTTCTGAAATGTTCCACTTTTTCTATTGATAGAGTCACATTGACTTTGAATGGAGAGACCAACCTCTCTTCCCTTTAGGCTGAATTTCTCCCACACCATTTGTCCTGCAGACATTGTTGTCACACCAAACTGAGCAGCATGAGTGTGCCTACAAAACCACCTTCTGTCACGATCCTGGGTCTTCTGACCCAGCATTTTGACTTTTCGTTTTTCTTTTTATGTTCATTAGGTTATCGAAGTTCATTTGTTCATTCCCCTTGAGTCTTCTACCCCTGTGTTTTAGCCTCCCTTTGCCCTTTGTGTTTCATGCTGTTTGTCTTATGTTGTCAAGTTTGCATTGTCATGTCTGCGTCTCATGTTTCCTCTTTTATTTTGAAGGTCCATGTCCTATGTCAGTGTAGTCAGCTTTGCTTCCTTAGTGTCAGCTGTTTCCCCATGTGTTTCCACTTCCCCTAATCACCCTTGTGTGTATTTAGTCTGTGTGTTTCGGTTCATTCTTTGTCAGGTTGTCTGTTATTCACGCCATGTTT